CTTCGCCTGCAGCATCCTCCTGAGCACAGTTAGGTAAGTGCCCAGCTCCTGGGCCAGGTGCTGGCTCTGGGGATGGCAGAGAGAGCATTAATCACTGTAATCACCCGTGATTGCACCCATCCTCCTTGCCATGGGTTTGGCTGCTTCTCTCGCCTGATTAATGTAATTGCCCTCAATTAGCCTGGCCTTCATTAAGCAGGGGTTGGCTTTTTTTTTTTTTTTTTAAAATACAGGAGTCAGATTACACTTTCTCTGTGGGGTTTGTTGCGTTGCTGCTCAGAGATGCCTGATAAAACATGGAGATTTGGGTTTTGAGCTGATTCCAGCGCCGTGACTCCTTCACATCCCTGCAGGAAATCAGCAGCCCTGCAGCAACAGAGTGTCTGGGCTTGAATGGGGCAGCAGGAACTGCTGGGCAAGCCAGGAGATGGATGAGCTTTTAGAGATCCTTTCCAGTCCAAACTGTTCCCCGGGAACATTTTTTTGTAGGCATGACTGAAAATAAAAYAGAGAAATAAAAAAGCCAAGAGGTGTTGAGCCCGCTCTGCCCYGTGGGGCACAGATTAAGRAGCAATTTCCTTTCTGGAACATCTCTCTAAACARAGAGAGGCAGTTTTTAAGGTCTCAATTTAAATATTTGTTAGTCCAAGTGAATTAGTGAATTAGTCCACGTTTCAGAGAGGCTCTCCTGGATGTGGTGGTGTTGGGACAGGGATGAGTCCCATGTGCTGCAGTAAGGGAGAGGGTTTAAGTATTTTGTGTATTTTGAATGTGTAAAGCCAGGGTTTTAAAACCAGCACGATGAGGAGAAAGYAGTGACATTCCTGCTGAAAAGAGCAAAGTGTTTTTTTGGGTTTTCTGAACCCAGCTGGGTCAGGCACTGCTCAAACAYAGCCCACGAGGCCTTCTCCACACGCACATAATTCCAGTGTGAACAAAATTTGGAACTCAGGATCCCTCTGTTAATGTTCCAGCTGTGGAGGAGTCTTTAAGGATTAACATAAACCAAGATTTTGGGGTGGTTGCAGCACTTGACGCTCCCAAAAGCACCGTGGGACTATGGGACACTGCCCCAATTCCCCCATTATTGATCAGTGCTTCCCTCCTTTCCCCAGTGCCAGCTGGCACAGAGGGCCTGACACAGGGGACGGTCCCCAAAGGTGAGGGACATGTCCCCTCTGCCCAGGGGCTGATGCAGAGAGGGCAGAGGTGGCACAGAGCCGTGACCCACATACGTGAGCACCTTCAGGGGACTCTAAGGTGATTAACAGAGCAGAATTAGCACAGTGAGCCAGGAGAATTGAGGGCACTTGAGCCAATCCCAGGGCCACATCTGCCATGGGGCAGCCTGCAGCCCCAGAACTGGAGCAGGAGCAGGAATTGGAAGCATTGATGGAGTTAAAWGCGTTGGACAGGCTCTGTGTGTGCTGGGGTTGGCACCTCCAGCTGCCCTTCCCCAGCTCCTCTCTCTGGGAAACCCCCTGGGAGCTGTTTTGGGATTTCTGCTCCTGGACCAAGTGGTTTTTCCATTGCTGGGGTTGCTTGTAAAAACACCAGATTTGTACCAGTGACTCAGCTCTTCCCGTGCAGCTTATGTCTTCTTCTACCAGGGGAATCACTTCAAGACTGAGCCARAAGTTCAGGATTACCTTTTCCATGCCAAACTTTCCCTGCTGTCCCTCTGCTCCATCATCCCAGCYCCTGCTATCCCATCTCCTGAGCCAGGACATCCCTGGCAACTCAGATTTATCACAGAATCCTGGAATGGTTTGGGTTGGGATGGATCTGAARGATCATTTTGTTCAAACCMTCCTGCCAYGGGCAGGGACACTTTCCACTATCCCAGGGTGCTCCAAGCTTTGTCCASCCTGGCCTTGGACACTCSCAGGGATGGGGCAGCCACRGCTTCTCTGGGAAATCCATTCCAGGGCCTCTTCCCAGGATTTCTTCCCAGTGTTTAATCCAAATCTCCCCTCCTCCATCTTAAGGCTATTCCAAAGCCATTTTCCCCTCTGCACCCACATCCAGCCCGAGTCTCATTTTCCCTACATTCCCTTTCCCTTATAACCGGCCCCCAAAGGAGGTGAACAATTCTCTGGAAGTTACATAAGCCAGCACAAAGTCCAGCTGCCTCCTCAKCCTGGCTGAAGGCAACCTTGCAGCTGAGCCCAGCACAAACAGGGCCATATTGACAGGACAAACAGCACACCCGACCTCCCAGCTCCCAGCACCGGTGGCACCACGGGSATTTGCTCCTATTGGGAACGTGCTGCCTTGGCAGAGCTGCCCCCCCAGCCCTGGGTGCCACGTGCACCC